CGTCACCGAGGGAGGACCGAGAGGAGCGCCGAGGGAAACCGGGAAAAGTGTTCGGGCGTTCACAGGCGGGCCTGACTCTTTGCTCGGCCCGTACTCTTAACGTTGGGTGAGCAAAGTTTCAGGTGTGTTTGCGTCGCCTTAACGTCGCTGCGAAAAACGGAAATGGTCCTTTCGTTACGATCATCGGGCCCCCTTTCCCCCCCTCACCCAACCCCAGCGCGGCGCCCGGGCGTGTCTTGACGTTACTCTTACGCCTGAAATTTGCTTTTTTTACCTGGCTTCTGCGCTCTCTTACTTGGAGAAGATAAAGGTGAGCAAAGTTTCAGGTGTGTGAGTGCGTTAAATTTACCGGCCGCCGACACGCCGCTTTAAATCGCCGCATATCCCCGATCCATAGTAATAAATAGGGGTGTATCTTCGGGGAGGTAGGCACTAAGTAGATACATCGAAACCGAGAAAAACTATCGAATACGAATATATTCGCCAACTTAGAAAGTATCGTAGCCAACACCGAATAAATAGTCAATATATTGAATAAGCGACATTTTTATCAACACTATGAAAAAAAACCTCCCTTATGGTCCCTTTACCTTTTTTTAAAAGTATAGGGAAGGTAATTGGATATGCACATCAGGTAGAAAGTTTTAGCAAATCGGCCAATAGGTCTATTCGTTTTCGAAGTACGAATGCCGCGGGGTTCTTCTTTAGCGTAGACAGGTGTAGATGAGTGGCACGTGTATAGGTCGCAACGTTAAACAGGGAGACGTCAAAACACGGCCAATCGCACAAACACATCTCTAACCGCATCATGACTGAACGATTTCCTTATGTATATACATACAAATATGCAAGTTTCTCTGCATAATTGAACTTACCGATCGATTTGCAAAAATATTCATTTCTACTTGAGCTGTTCAAAAGCATTCATTCGATATTTTATTCGTGGTGTTTAATTCGAGATTTTCATATCGAGGTTGTAATACATCGGATAATCGATAGTATCGAATGTCGATAAGCATCTCTAGTATTAAGACGCGCCACTTATTAATTTTTTTGCGAGAAAAGTAACGGGCTTAGGACCAGCATTCGAACCTGGGGCCTTCCGCTCGCCGGGCGAATGCTCTTCCAACTGGCATGAGCTATCCAGGCCCACCGAAAAGACAATTCTCGCGACGGCCGCCGCCCCCGCTAATTAAAGTCATTGTCATTCCTCGGGAGCGACAAACAAAGGGATACGCGCGATTGGATTGTTTCGCGATAACACGATATTATTGTTGGATAAATTACTGTGTGAATACCGTTAGCGATATTTCAGGCGCGCGGGATCAACTGAATTAATTAATTAAATTGAACTTTATTACGTAATAATTAGCTGTTGTTTATCTGGACATTTCTGATGCTCGCTGCTATCGATGCGACATATATATGTTTATATTTGGAGACGCGAAAGTTCACATCGGATTCCACTTTTATCGGCATTCTCTCATGAATAAATAATATCCGCTGTTGCTGAATTGTCAAGCGTGTTTACAAAGTATTATAATAATTTAATGAAAAATATGTGTGCGATAGGTGACGCATTTACGATTGGATCTGCAGTCGTTCGGTCACAGCGTTGAAGACCAACGAAGAAATTGTTTTATGCGATTTACCTACGCGGAGAGAATTTTCTCTTAATATTTACCCTGAAAGTCGTGTAATCGTGGGATAACATGGCATTTTGAAGAACTTTATGAGGATTTTTTTTTACATTTTCCCATACATTTCCCATACATCACATTTCGAAAACTCGTAAAATTCTTCGAAATACCGTGTTGTTCCACGATCACATGATTTTCAGGATAAATTTTAAACGAAAATTCTCCATGTATAAACCATTTGTAAAATAGCACGTAGCAATTAATAACACGATGTAATAAGATGCAAATAAATGCGTTGATCAGCTGATACGAACCCCCTGTACCGCTTCAAAACGAAAAAAAAGATATTATTTACTTGCAAGCTTAAAATAGCTCGTATTAATTAAGCATCGGGAATTTCCGATCGTCAAAATGGAAAGTTTATTCGCCGTAATATCCTACAATTACGTTTTTCGCCATGTACAAAAATAAATTTTGTAAACTCAGTAGCTGTTGCTACGCCACGTTTAACTTTACCCACGCCTTCCTTATTTGACTCCGATATTGATTAATAATTTGTTGATTAAAAAGCAAATTTTAGACGGCGGTTTTTCCGTTGTAAATAAAAACACAGCACTTTAATTAATATTGAAATATACTCGTATAAGTATTAAATGTATAATGTTTTCTTTTAGTTATAAAAATTAGGCAAGAACTTTAATTAATCATGAATTATGTGCAAGCCGGCGAGCTTTCGAAAAATATTCTCAGATTAAACGAAGTAACAGAGAATATCAGATGGATAGATTAAACTTATTGAGAGCGATGCATTTATTGTATAGAGAATTGTACGAATTTCCGTACAAGATACAATATCTTTTTTTTTTCTTCGTTAATTCATTGTCTGGTAACGCGATGACGCATATAATTGTTGCTGGCTGTTGCGCTCATGAATAATTTTCGTCATACGTTTAATCAAAGCCATTTAGATTAATACTGTTAATTTACATTAATTATTAATGTAATAAACTACCGCTCTGTATATCAATTTTGCGTCACAATCAGGCAAATGTAAAGCGGCAAATTTAACATTACAAAATTACATAATATCTGTTGCGATCGATACTGTTCAAAATATTCTACTTTTAATTCAACGATATCAAAGAAAAGCGCCATTGCGCCATTAGGGAAAAGTCACCACAAAAAGATGCTTACTCCCTATCGCGTCTAGGGACTTTTCATGACTCCTAACTTTTTTTCATATTAATTTTCTTTCACCTTAGCGATTAGTATTTAATACAAAGATACGTTAAACGCTAGGAGCCGCGTTTGCGTGCAATATTCTGTTTCTATTCGTTCGATACGCGATTAAAATACTGCCGTTCGATTGGACAACATCACAGTTTAATAGACAGATCGCCAAAGGCCCGGGTGAAATCGAGATCACCACACACTTTGCCCCTTAAGCGTCGTCTACAATAGGTGGAGTAAGCTTGGCGTAAGAGAACTACTTCTGGTTTAAGAGAGCTGGAGTAAGGGTGTAAGCGAAATGAATTATTTTTATTTCTTACGCTTACTCTTACGCTTACGCTCGACCAATCAGAACGCAGGAGGAAAACTCAGGTACACCAAAAACGTTACTCCTACTCTTACTTCTTACTCCACGCTTACGCCGGTTATTGTAGACGACGCTTTACCGACAGCTTTGCCCCTAGGTGCAAGTCTGGACTAAATATATTCGATTTTATCGACAGAATTGGCTATATTTAGTCTGGACTCGCACCAAAAGGCAAAATTGAAGATACAAATGTCCCGCCAAAATCCCTAATGAAAAAAGTCACACACGCGAAGAGAGAGAGAGAGAGAGAGAGAGAGAGAGAGAGAGAGAGAGAGAGAGAGAAGTAATTATATGCGCAACGTCACTTTAATATAAAAATTAAAAAGTAATATGTCACTCACTGATACGAGTCGCAACAGCAAAGTTGTACATCGCTAACTATATAGGTTAAACTGTAACAATACAAAAATGTATACGATTATTATAGACTAATTATGCAAATTCTGAACTATTGTATTAAATATACTTTATATTTTATATTTTTTAAAATGGGTATTTATTAAAACAATTATATAGAATTCTGAAAGTCTTCCTTTTAAATATGAACTCACAAAATTTTATACGCATGGTTTTGTCTCTAACACTTATTCGAATGCTCGTTCGAATCATTTGAATAAATAAAATGAAAGCACAGAACAGATGATTCACTTTACACAAGTAGCAAATAACAAACATGTAAGACACTTACCTTACGATTTCTCTGCCGTTGCCCGATGCCGCCTAGGTCTTGCTCCTCCTCTCAGATTTTCTTGTTGCACTTACACTCACAACAATCGCGCGAAATTTCGGACACTCCCGTACGCGACGTAAAATACCGTGAAATGTAGTAAGCGACGTTCTTTACTTCCTGCCCGTTCGAATTGCGAAGAACGACAGAGCGAATTACGCCGTGAACGCCGAAGTCGCACAAATTTCTCTCCCCGAAAATGGAACAGATTACACGAAATCGATAGATAGTTAAAAGCGCGGTGCGTAAACGAGATGTAACCACGACAAAGTATCACGGTTTTATACCTTTCATGTTTTAGATGAGTTGGTCTCGTGAAATATCTATGTACACGTTGATACAGAGCCGTCGCTTCAACATGCAATTCGTTTCTCATTACAAGTTTTAGAATCTTAATAATTAATCGAGTAACGTTACTTGTCACTGATAAAGGTGTACAAATCAATAGCGTTTTATCCCTACATTCTTCGCGGTCGAGCCTTGGAAACTGGTAACATAAAAATAATACCACGCACGGAACAACTCTCGCTGCTGCCTGCCGGCTCGACGTTCGGCGAGCGAGTGATAAGTACGGAATTTTCCATTACGTAGATGGGCCAACGAATTCTCAACACAAAAAACGAACGTTTTTTTGTTGTTTTTCACTCGGCGCGGTATCGTACGACGCTACGCAGACCATTGTTTACACTAAGGTCGCTGCTCAGGCACTCGCCGAACGTCGAGCCGGCGAAGTTTCTAGTTAAATTAAAAAATTGATAATGCCTCACAGCAGAATTCATTTTGTACTACCAACTACGGCTGTCAAATCACTTTTCAATGCACGCTGTTTTACGGCACGTTACGGCAATCGTATTTTCGCAGACATACGTTACCGTTAAGTCCACATCACGTTACTTTGCGTCCCATTACGTTAAGTCGATCGTAATCCCGCCGTAATTAATCTGTGACAACATTTATATATCGCGCGTTACGTGTCGCGTCTGCGCAGACAGCAACGCTGTGCTCCAGGTTGGCCACCCTGGCCGAAGGCGGAGAGCAGACGACGGGCCGCCATATTGCACGAGTGTATTGCGTGAGAACGAGTTCGGTTCAATCGAGTGTCCCGGCGAAGATGATAAATTCGGCGAGTGCGATCGCCCGCCAGGCGGTGAGGAGGTTCACGACGAGCGCGGTCCGCAGAAGTGGCCATCACGATCCCTACGATGGCGTACCCGGACACGTGAGTAACCAAATCGCACTGTTGCGTAACGTCCCGATGGTTCGCGACGACGGGCACTACGTCTAACCGCAACGTTCACTCACTCTCTTTTGCAGAACTTTCCGTTCAGCACGCAGAACAGGCACGTGCTGCTGGCTATATTTATGGCCTTCTGCGGCAGCGGATTCTCCGTTCCCTTCCTCATCGTCCGTCACCAGCTAAAGAAATAAGCCTCTAGTACGTCGAGTGTCGTCCTGCGAGTCAGGTACCTTACAGTAGAGCCCTGAGGCTTTCGTTCGTGGATGTATATTTCGTTGACGCGACGTGTACTTCTGATTGATTGACGAGAGACAGATTGATAACAGTACGATCCATAAATGCTTAAGACTATTTTAAGTCGTATACATTTACAACACTCTTTCTGTTCAGGCCCTAAGACTGTCTTAAGGCCTGCGTCCATCTTTTGTGGAATAGCTGCAAGGTGATTGGGTATGCACTTCTCGAAACTAGAACTTGGACCGAGCTCTAGCACCGTGGACACAGGCCTTAAGACAGTCTTAGGGCCTGAGCAGAAAGATTGTCATAAGTGTATACGACTCCGTAAGACGCAAGTCAACATCAGAAGTCAACTCACAAAGAATTGTAGACGTATATGTCACATTCGTCGCACTGCAAGGCCTACAACTTGCAACAGAATTGTAAACTGTTACGACAATCTATCTGCTTAGGGCCTTGAGCGATTACGGATCGCTTTCTGCCATCAGCCATACCGACATCACTCTAATTGTCGCTCTATTTTTCAGATTACCTGGCTGTGTTGAACGATAATCTTGCACCAATGCTGCGAGCGTCATTTGATTACGCTAGGATAATGCAATAGGAAATGTATGTATTTGTAATAAAGACAATTTATTAACATCTGATGATATCTATCAGATGTACAAACTTATTAAAATTGTTATATTACTTGTGCTGTGAACATTTGATTCTACAATAATAATAATCATTCATCTGTAGTACGATTAAGTGTTTTTATAGGTTTTATCTTGCTGCTGATCTCATTTTTCTTTCCCGCGTGCTGCCAGCAAGTCAATGTGCTGATAATCATTCTTCTAAAGATGCCGAAAAGATAATCGATAATTGACCTGCGACAAAGAGAATTTGTAGTTATTTAGATAAGACGTGTAAAGAACAAGGAACACGTATAGAGTTATATAATCGTAACATGATATCTCGAAGTACTTTGCACAGTTCTCGTTTCTTTGCTCATTTATTATGCATATTACATTTATTTGTATAAACATGCAGTCTCTCCAATACAATAGATGTAATTAAAGCGCTATTTAATAGATATGTCTTAAAAATAGATGCGGCGCAATTGGATGAATGTTACATAGGCTCTCAATTAGTAATTGAGCCTAAAATATCTTAAATATCTAAGCTTCTTTTAGACTACGTGACTCTCCTCCGCGATGTGCGCAGTACGTTTTCTTACGCACGTGCGTCTACTGTCATGTATCAAAATCGTACTCTGGCAGCCGCGGTCCTTTACGATACGACCGTCTTGGATAATCTGCATCAAATTGAAACTTATTACATTATTGGATCATGTGACATTATTTTATGTAAAATAGATGCTTACAGTTGTTATAATCTTCGTGGGACTGATAGGAGTCTGGGAAAATAATTGGAGCATTTTTTATACGATGCGATCCCCATTCGTCCTCGGGTGCCTATAGCGAAATTAATTTGAGATAATTTTTAATTCTGCGAAATTTGCAATAAGGATACAAATTTTTTTAAAGGGACATTGATAAAAATTTGTTTATATTCAGCGGTTTCACGTACGTGCGTCTTGCCGTATTTCCTTCTTTCGTTTTGTTTTCGGCGTTTTGTATTTACGTAAAACTTTCCCTTCTTTCTCTTGGCTCTGTACTCGCTGTCCCACTGCTGATCCTCGTTTTCACTCGCATCCTTAATTAACGGTTGCTCCTCCGCGCGTTTCTGTAAAGTAAAAAAATCGACCGTCAGTCTTCTGCCGTCTCTCGTTTAATTTAAATTGTAACGCTGCGTCGCAATTTTACCTCCGGTTCAAACGCGTCTTCCTTGGCGACAACACCAGCCATTCGCTTTATGCAGAATTTCTTTTTGGCGCAGCAAATTAGCCACAGCAACAGCAAACATATCGACAGCATCGCGCCAACACTCGCTAAAGTTACCATTACGGCGGAGAATGAATTCCAGAGCTGCAAAAGAGAGCGATTTGCGTGACGTACACATCGTGTAATAATACGCTGCGCTAATGCACCGAGACCGAAATGTCGCGAGGTGATTTTTCTAATTTTGAAATGTTGTATATCTTACGAGTTCACGCACGTACCATATTGTGGCAGCCCTTCGTCATTGGATTAGTGCACGTGCGACAAACTCGGGCACCGTGATTCGGCTGATACGTGCCGGCCGGGCATCTCTTGCAGTGCGATATTCCGCCCTCGCTGTAAGTGCCCATGTTACAAGGAACTGGAAGAATCCGTTAATTTATCATATCGCGCATTACATTGGTCCTCCGGCGTGCTAGTCACGTACCACAGCGTGTATCACGAAGACCGTATCCCGCTGGACAGCTGGAGAACAATCCGACATTGCTGGATCTCCCGGCGGACGCGTTTGCGTCGGTCCTCCCTCGCTTCCGTCTCGCGGGCGACGACTTTTCGACGATCGGCACCAGCCTCTGCTCGTAATGCGGCAATCTGAAAATAACTGCAGTTAAAGAACTCTATAGAGATGTGCTGTGAGGTATAAGGCCGCAACATTCCTCTCCCGTGATACGATAAAATGACAAATAGTAATTAATCATTTTATCACGGAGAAAGATATCCAGGTAGAAAGTTCAAAAGATTTCTAGCGAGTTAAAAATGCAAAATGTAGAATTGGTAGATCAAATTAATGTTCGCGTTATAGGAAAGCAGAGGGATACGTCGCGACAAAACTGAACAAATATACATTTGTTAAACTAACTGGTCTTGCCGAGAAAGATTTGCAAATTTTTGCTCAGTGTCAGCGAGAATTTATCCTGAACGGCTTTGAGACAGAAGACGTTGCAGTGTTTGGGATCGAGCGTAATCGGTTTAACGATATGCGACGGCACCAATAAAATATCTACTGTAATCTGCAACAAAAATTACAGTACACAATAGGTGAAAATTGAAAGGTCCGGGAGAATGTACTCTCATTTTACATAAGAAAACGCACTTGACTTCGAGAGCAAGACGGCGTTAGGACGTAAGCGTTGCAGACATCCGCTTCGCATATAACGCTGTTCAACTTCAGGGGTAGATACGTCACCAGCACGTCCAGGTCCCTTTCATCGCAAGATCGCACGTGATAACGACTCTCGCCGTGTACAACGTATCTCGGCAACGTGACAACTGCGAAAGATCCCTCTTAGTTCGACTAGGCCGAGCGTTTACCGTCAGACTTATTAAAAAAATATTGAATAACTAATTCGCACCTTGCAAATGGATTTCATAAGCGGTCTCCACGGGCTCCTCGTTGTCGGGGCTCGTGTACGTCATGACGCAGGTGTAATTTCCCGTATCCTTCGCGTTCACGTTTCGCAACTCCAGGTCGCCGTTTTCCGCCACGAAACCTGCGAAGCGAACGATCTCGTGAATTCCGCGCACATAATATCAGCGTCGAAATTTTCTTTCGAATGCGAGGACACGGCGCCGTACCGAAGAGCGCGATGCCGTCCGTTCTTTTCCACGTGTAACTCGGTCTGCTGACGCTCGACAACCAGGTGATACCATCGCCGTCTTGATTGCAGGGTAAATTGAGATTAATACCGGGTAACGAAACAACGTCGTGATCTGAAAAGAAATTCCTCTGTTATATTGTTACGTTCATTTCTAACGCGTTAATATGAAAGACGAAAAGTTTGCCACGGAAATACCGCTGTCGAGTTCCAGGTCGCTCTCGAAATTATCCTCTAGCTCCTCCAGCTTGATATATTTCTGACCCTTGAGCGATTCGATATTGTAATGCGGTTGTGGAAATTCTCTAGCCTCCTCCATGTCGGAGTCCATCGAGATCACTATTTTATCCTGAATCTCTTTATATTCGCTGCAATTAAGTGCCTTAATTTCATCTAATTGGAAGCTCGTTCTGTCTAGCAGAGATCTTATGTTGCTAACCACGCTTGCGACGTCACAAATGCAATTGGAGCAATTATGGATTTTTCTTCCATGCAACGTAGATGTTGAGTTATTTTTACGTCCGACGATATTAAGATGCGTTACTTTCTCATCGTTCTTCTGGTGGGGATTTTTTACTGGAGGATTCGCGGCCGTTTTATGATATTTATTCTTGTTATTCGCGTCACAATTATCGCGAAGAGAGTGTAAATTATTTTTCTGTAATGTTCGCGATTTTGCCAGTTGCTTCTTTTTATGTTTGTCCGTAGCATCTTCGTGGTTGACAACTTTATGTTTCAATTTGCTCGCATTAACACCGCACAGCTTGCGGCTTTTCGCTGTTATTGAATCGACATTGTCGTTAAGTCGGGAATCGTTAAATCTTGCCGTTCTGCTTTCCTTGAAACTTCGCTTAGAATAATTCGATCCGCGCAACTTTTGCGAATCGCTCTTTAATTTCTTCGCTATTATCCCAGGTCGCTTTGTTCTTAGCTTGTAACGCAACGCATTTCTTCTCGTAACGTTTCTAAGACTGGCATTTCGCTTTTCGATAGAAACGCTTTCCCTCCTTCTATTGCCATAAACGTCTCGTTTGTGATAAGATACGTTTGATTTTACTTCGCTGTTTCTTTCGTTCCTAAGAACAACGTCGAGACAGGTCGTTCTAGTGACCGATACGTCGATGGTTTTGCTTTCATCAATCACCGTGCGAGATACAGCTGACGGTTCCGTGACAAAGTCGAATTCCCAAAATCTAGTGCCGCCTAAATGATATGTCGTACTTTTCTCGGTGGGCCACGCTTGATCCAGCAGTTCTTTTTCATTTTCTGTCATTCCCTTATCCTTGCCTGCGTCGTCTAAGAATCTCCCAACGTGTGTCCATGTCGATGTTTCGTGTTCCTCGTAATTCATATAATCTATAATATTAAAATTGCATATTAAAAACATGAGTATTTATATTATAAGAACAGATAGATTCTCTGACACACTGTAATAAATCTCGAGAGTGAAAATAATATATAACATATCAACAGCATACAAAGATATTATAAATGAAAGACAATTAAATCAGTGTGAATTTCTAGAGATCAAAATATTTGAAAAATAACTCTTTTTAACATACTGTCTATCATATCTTCGATATAATCTTCATCTTCAACCTCGTCGTATGGCGATGTAATTTTCCTATCCGTCCCAAAATTACTTACATAATCGACATCATTTGATTCAGATAAAATCGTTAGTTTATCTTCATCTGGTTTAGCGGATACTACTTCATGCGTTTGTTTGTCCTCGTTGTAACTGAGATGTAGCACGTTTACCGTGTAAAATCTACCTTCTTCGGTTGTTATAGTCGTTGCTCTTTGACTCGAAGTATTGGCCGTACTTTTCCTTGACCAAAATCGTGCATTACTCTCTATCGGTGAAACGTCCCTTTTTCGAATATTTGTTTCATCGTCAATGAGGAAGTTATTATTTTTTGCGGAAATTAAATCATAACTGAAGAAAGCCTTTCTCTTTCTATGCTCCTTACTGTCCAACATTGGCGTTACGGTCGGCTGGAAGATACTTTCATAGTAATTAAAAGCACGTTCATACAAAGAGGTTTTATCTTGAAAATCGCTAGTTGTTTTTTCTTGCGCTTCCATGGCTGCAGTCCTTTTTGGAATTTTTCTCATCTTTCCGTAGATTCTAGTGAAACCTTTAAAGTGCCGCAGTGGCTTCGTAGTTTCGTTGTTCAGCCATTCGTGATGCAACAGCTGCAGATTGTCGATCTTACGTGTAGTCTCTTTCGCCCTCCTGTGACATCGAGGATCTGATGAAACATTCCATCTCGGTCTTCTAATTTTTCTCGTACTTTGCAAAGCGAGAAGCCTTCTGCTCAACCGACCGACTAACTTCTCTTCGTTTTTTTCGGGAAAGTACGGCAGACAGATCTTTTTGGTCACAATGTCTCTTCTTCTTTTATCTAAAGGAATCGTCGTATTTTCCAGAACGTTCAAACATATTCGTTTCGTCACTATCTCTTCTTCTTTCAGTGTGACGGCTTCTTCAGGAACAGGCTTTGTCCGTTTCCCCTCGTGGATATCTTCCATTTCTGTCTGTCGAGAAGTTACCAGCTTCGTAGTCGTCCGATTTTCTTTCTTCTCCGTTACCTTTTTAACCTGCGTTGTTAATTGCGCTTTTATAGTGGTCTTTTCAGTCGGCGGCACTGGCGTTGACAAACTTGTGAGCACAGTCGATTTCTTGGTTGACGCGATTGACGTCTTCTTCTTCTCAAACTCCTCCATGTATTTTTCAAATTCCATTATATCTCTCGCCAATCTTTCCTCTCTTTCCAGCAAAATCTTTTCTCTCTCCTCTAATTCGCGCTCCTTCTCGCGCAATTTTTCTTTCAATCTTTCTATTTCCTCGTCGTACTTCACCTCTGTAGCCGTGATAATAGCCAAAGTCGACGAAGTAGTTGCGCTAGTAAACTCCAATGTTGATGGAATGAATAGAGGCTTACCATAAATGTCTGTATAAGTTTCCTCTGTTGTATACCAAGTAGGGAGTGTAACTGAAGCTACTTCCTCGAATCTTTCACTAAACGTAGCAATGGGTAAAGTAAACTTTTCAGTGGCCAGTGTACTTGTAATGGTAGGTGAAGCGAAAGTTAATGGTTCGCTGTAAAGGGTCACGTAACTTGTAGTATACATTTCTTCGACGGTATAAGGAGTCGCAGTTTCAATTGAAGCTAAGCCGACGTTATACAAATCCACGATAGACGTGGTAACATACGGCGTCAAAGTTACGTAATCCGTAATTTGCACTTCTTCTACCTCTTCCGTAAGAAATGTATTAGTTGTGCTCTTCTCTGTAGCGTAAGATATAACCGTTTCCTCTGTTTCTTCTGTCGTGGATTTACCTCTTTCTGTAGCTGCTTCCTCCGTCTTCTCTGTAGTATACGCTACGGATATAATTTCCTCTGTGACACTGAATGGAATTGTTTCAGTCACGTAACTTGCAGTATACATTTCTTCGGTGGTGTAAAAAGTTGTAGTTTCAATTGAAGCCGAGCCAAAGCTATATAAATCCATGACAGACGTCGTAATGTACGGCGTCAAAGTTACGTAATCCGTAATTTGCACTTCTTCTACCTCTTCCGTAAGATATGTAATAGTTGTGCTCTTCTCTGTAGCGTAAGATATAACCGTTTCCTCTGTTTCTTCTGTCGTAGATTTACCTCTTTCTGTAGCTGCTTCCTCCGTCTTCTCTGTAGTATACGCCACGGATGTAATTTCCTCTGTGACACTGAATGGAGTTGTTTCAGACACGTAACTTGCAGTATACATTTCTTCGGTGGTGTAAAAAGTTGTAGTTTCAATTGAAGCTAAGCCAAAGCTATATAAATCCATGATAGACGTAGTCATGTACGGCGTCAGGGTGACATAGTCTGTGATATACTCTTTCTCCATTTCTTCTGTAATGCGGATAACAAATGTGCTTTTCTCTGTTGTGTAAGATGTAACTGTTTCCTCTGTTTCTTCTGTAGTGTACGTCGTAAATGTACTTTCCTCCGTAATTTCTTTCCCCGTCTTCTCCGTAGTATATGTCACAAATGTGATTTCTTCTGTGATACTAAATGGAGTCGTTTCAGTTGGAATCGTAATTTCGGCGAAGCTCGACGTAGTAATAAACGTATAGAGACCAGGGGATGTGACTTCAACCTCTGTAGTCGATGCAGTTAAATTTGTTGTGCTAACAGCCTCGACAGGAGATGCGGTCAAGACAGTGGTCGTAATGTAGCCCTCGGTTGTACCTATCGCTATTGTAATATTCTTCGCTTTCTCCTTCTCACGCTGCATCATTTTCCTGCGTTTCTCCTTTTCTACGTTCCACTGTTGCTCCTTTTCCTTCAGCCTCTCCTCTCTCTCCGCCACTTCTCTCTCGTGCTGTTTGAGATCGTCGAGTCGTCGCAGTAACTGTTCCTTTTCTTCTCGTTCGACAATTTCGGTTTCGGGCGTGATAAACGGTGTGACACGCGGAACAGTCTCTTCCGTAATCGCCAAAGTGGTAACCTCGTAACCGGTTTCGAGAGTACCTTCTGTTTCAGAAGATGCAGTACTCATGGTCGTTGTGCGCACTTCAAAAGCTTCCTTCTCCGATAACGTTGTTAATGCCGACGAGATGAAGAAAGAAGTCAACTTCTCCACGGTCTCGGTCTCTGTTGAAACTCGCTCTGAAGTCGTAGTCTTTTCCAATACGATCTTCGGAATTTTTTCAGGCCTTGTGATAAATTTTGGCAAGGTAACGTCGTGCCACATTTTCGTGAAGCGTTCTAGATCCGTGTACCTGGGCGGAATTGTCAAGTATTCCAGTGGTTCCGTCGGGATTCTGAAAATCGTCGAAGAGGGAAGAGTGTATTCCTCAGTAGAACCGAAAGTTAATTCTGTCTTTTCGCTCATAGAGGATACTGTTTCCGCTTCAACCATTGTTACGTTTTCAATAATGGTTGATGCGTACGTTTCCAAGGTAGAAGTGACTTCTTCTTCGGCATAAGATGTTTCCGAAGTAACCGCGGCTGAAGTCACATTACCGTAAGTCGAAGTTGTTGAGTACCTTGTAAATCCTGAAGTTTCCATCTCATACGAACTTGTCGTGCCTCTGACAAGAGGCGGACTTGCCTTTTCTTTAGGCAGTTTCGTATATTTCACCAGCGCAGTTGTCCTTCCCTCCGTCGTCGTTTCGTATTCGTCATAATAATACCACTTGGCAGTCGGAATTTCGGTGTCGTATTCTTCGTACTCTTCATATTCCTCTTCGAACGGCTCTTTCGCTACGTAATATTCCGTTTCAACTTCTAACCTTTCTTCAGTAATTGCTGTCGAAAGTGAAACAGCAGGATGAACCGTTGTTTCGATAAATGGTGTTGTAAAACCTTTTGTAGCATACATTACCGACGAACTTTCAGTCATTGACATCGTAAACTCTTCCGAGACAGTTTTTGGCAATACAGAGATAACTTCCGGCGTAGTGGCAGGCGTTTCGGGCGTAATTAATATCGATAGAATAGATTCGGAAAATGGAGCAAGTGTCACGGTGACTACAGCTTCTAAGATCGTCGCATACTCCGGTTTTTCAGAAGTTGTTATTATCCAACTTGTCTCCGTAATTTCTGTGACAGTTTCTTCCAGAAGGGAAGCAGTTGTCGTAGCTATTGCGGGTACCAAACTACTTGTCTCTATTATACTGGTTTCAGTGGAAATCAACGCAGCTTCCGAAAGTGTCGGTATTTCCTCAATCGTTGTCATAGGAGTAACAGTGACGATTTTTTCGGTCGATAACATTTCTTCAGTTGTCGTGGGCAAAGTAATTGTTTCAATCGAGAAGGAAGTTGCTTCTGTAGTCGTTTCGATAAAAAACGGAGTAGTAAACGACGGTAGATACGTCATTGGTGTTTCTTTGGCGATAGTAACTTCTTCTGTAACCCAAGTCGTATATTCTTCCGTTGTTAGTTCAGCTGCACTCGTAGCTGTCGCTATTTCTTCCTTCGTACTTTCGTAATATTCTTTATACTCTTTAGTTTCTTCGTATTCTCTCATAGGAGACGACGTACCTTCGATGGTCTCTGTTAAAACAAACGAAGTAACTAAAGTAGAAGTAGTTTCATAAGCCGTTGTCTCAGTATCCACTATAACAGGCGTCGTAATTGGAATGTTAGTGGTGGAAGGCGTTGTTACTGTAAAATACACGACCGGAGATATTGTACTTTCGAAGGTCTCTGCTGTGATTGCGCTAGCAGTCGTGCTGGAAACTGTCGCATTTTCGGTATAGATTGCAATGGATGATGTAGTCAAGAACGTTTCGACTGTAGATACCGCTGTAGGAATTGGCAATACAGTTGTGGTTTGAAACGTTGTAAGTATCGAAGAAGTTGTAGTCTCCTCTATTAAAAACGTAGAAAGCGTAGTGCTTGGCGTTTCACTTAACATCGTGCTCGTAACCAACGATAAGGGCGTTGTCGTTGCTATTTTCAACGACGTGGTTGGAACTGTGGTTTCAAAAGAAGTTAGAACAGATCTTTCCGTAGTCGAAAACGTGCTAGAAATTGTGGTATATGGCGTTTCACTTAGCGTCGTATTTGTAATCAACGTTCGTAACGGCATTATTGTTAATTTCAACGTAGGAACTGTGGTTTTAGCAGAAGTTGCTGTAACAGGCGTCGAAGAAATTAAAGTGCTCTCAGCTGTTTCCGTAGCAAGAATTGTGGTAAAAGTAGTCAGATTTGATGTTGGAAAAAATTCCTTCGGGGACGTCGTTGCAACAGATGACATTGCACTCTCTGATGTTGTAAAAAACGTTGTTGTAATATACGTGGTCGACATCACTGGAATTTCGGTGGTTCTTGAACTTTCGGTCGTTGTTAGAGTTTCGGTAGTGGACGGAGCTTCCGTGATCGTTGACGTTAAGGCTTTAATACTCGTGGTTCTTTTAGTCGAAATTTTGGTAGTTGTTAAAATTTCAGAAGGCGTTGATGTTTCCGTAACTACTGCAATTTTTGCAGTCGTTGGTATCTCGCTAGTTGTTGAGGTTTCGGTAAACGCTGATGTTCCTATAGTCGTCAGAGTTTCAGTAATTGTTAGAATTTTTGTGCCTGCTGTAGTTTCTGTAGACGCTGAAATCTCAGTAGGTGTAAAAGTTTCAGTAGTTACCTTAGTTTCAATAGGTGTAAGAGTTACGGTAGGAGTTAAAGTTTTGGCACTTGTAGTTTCTTTGGTAATTGGAATTCGTAGAGTTGTCAAAATTTCAGTAGGTGTTAAAGTTTCTGTAATTGTAGTAGCTTCTATAGCTGTAGATTTTGTACTAGTCGTTGGTATCTCGCTGACTGTCGAAGTTTCGATAGGTGCTGGCGTCTTCGCAGTTGATAAGGTTTTATTAATTGTTAAAATTTCGGTAATTGTAGTTTTCCTAGATGTTGAAATCTCGGTAGTTGTCGAAGTTTTAGTACTTGTCTTAGTTTCAATAGATGTTAGAGTTTCGGTAGATGTTAAAGCTTTGGCACTTGTAGTTTCTTTGGTAGTCGGAGTTTTGACAGTTGTCAAAATTTCAGTAGATGTTAAAGTTTCTGTAATTGTGGTAGCTTCTACAGTCGTTGATATCTCGCTGGCTGTCGGAGTTTCGATAGA